GTAAATCAGTCATGTAAAAAATTGTAGTAAAACCATTTTAGCTTTAAAATTACTTTTCTAGTTTCTAAATGGTAAAAGGTTTAAGTTTCCCAACTGATCAATATAGAAACTTAAAAAAAAGACTTTATTATGTACATACTTTCTAAAGAATTGGAGCCATCTGCTGTCGTAAGGAGGTACTTCAGGCAAAATGCTATCAGCTTAACTTTAATTCCTTTTTAAAGTAAAAATTTTATAGCTACAACACATAATATGCAAGTGCAGCTTTCTGCAGATTTTTCTAAATCTTTCAGAATAGAATATTACCAGGTTTTTTGTTTGTTGTTTCCATTTTGTTTTGCTAAAATATGTATGGATTTTTAAGGCATATGTTAGTTTACGGAAAGGTTTCCAAATTGAAACAAAGATTGTTCTTTTGAATTATCTGCTTTTATTATGTTAATTAAAACAACTTTAAAGAGCATCTAAGTGCCTCTCAAGCTACATAAAAAGAATACCCAGTTGATGCATGGGAATTATAAAGATAAGTTACACAGTTGGTGGAGGAACAGCCTATACTGAAAGGCAATTAAACAAGAGCTATATTATATTATATTTAAAATAGGAAATATATGTGCAGAAAACCAAGTAATCATCGTTACTCTTATATCATCTCCTGGAATGGATTCTCTTAAAATTCTGATAGTGCCTCTTTCCTTTCCTTTCCACCTTAAACAAGTGCTTCTTACACTTTGATGTGTATATCATCACCTGGGGATCTTGTTAAAATGCAGATTCTTACTCAGAAAGCCTAGGGTGTGGTCTGAGATGCTGAGCTTCTAGCCAGCTCCCAGGGGTTTTCCATGTTACTAGTCTTCAGATTGAGTGGCAAGGCCCTTAACTATGGGCAGCCAGGAGTTGAAATGACAAAGGTAAGAAGTGTCAGGGTTTTCATTTTTGTTTTGTTCTACTACCTATTCAAAACCCAGACTGAAATTCTTAGCTTACTTACTTAGCTTAATTCTTAGCTTAGTTAGTTTTCCATGCTTTTACTTCCTCCTCACTGGTGCCTACTCTATTACCACACAAAAAAAATTCTTAAATATACACACCTGTTATTAGCTAGCATGCCATAAGTAATATTATCCATGTGACCCATAGGCTAAGGGTCCTCAAAGAATGGTTCCCTACTGTGCTTGATGAGAATGTTTTCTAGAAATAGGGTCATGGTAAAGAGACTCTGAATGACTCTAGTAAGGGGTAAATTGTGCCAAAACTTAAAATAGTGAATAATTCTGTAATCATTTCAATTTGGCTTTAGAATGTATTATAATAGAATTTGCAGGATATTTATTTACTAATTATATTTTACTTAAGGTAAAAATAAAATATATTTGTATGCTCTGACCATAAACCAACTAATAGTGTTGGTAGGAAGAGATAAAGAGAGGGGGTCTGCCTGAAAGCACAAGGAAGTATATAAAGGAGGGCAGTCTGGGATAAATTTTTTTTATGAATAATACATCTGTGGAAAGTCAAGATTTCATCTGTCAAGTTCTAATGCAAGTGAAATAATACAAAGGGACATTGTACTATTTCCCCCTTTTGCAATGGATTATTTAAAGTGCTGTTAAGGATGTTTTGGGGCATACAAACATCTACTATGTATTGAACACATACTACGTATCTACATCTAAACTAAGAAATCTCTATGCAGTGGCTTAGTAAGTTCTCACCATGTATCTATGTGGTAGGTGCCATTATGCCAATAAGATAAGAAAATAGCCTATCGAGGAACTTTTTAATTGGGAAACCTTTTGAAAAAATTTAACTCAACAGTGAGTTTTATGAAAAGCTCCATTCTATGGTTTATCCTATATAAATAAATCCAATATATTTAAAATTTATGAATAGGAAAACTTACAGTTATTATTCATTTCATGAAAAGAATAGCCAGTGATTGGACTTACGTGGTTAGTATATATAACAGGGTTTTTTTGAGTTACATATATTTAATATACATATAATTTTCCAGTTAAACACTTGCAAAAAGTTTGGCATGTCTACAATAATGCTGTTAATTTTCTATTCATTTTGATTACTTAGGAGATTGTCTTAGTCTGTTTCCTGCTGCTATAATAGAATACCTGTGGCTGGGTAATTTGTAAAGGAAAGAGATAGTCTATTTCAGCTCGTGATTCTGGAGGCTGGGAGGTATAAGATCAGTTAACCACTTCTGGCTGGCTTCTGGTAAGGGCCTCATGCTTCATCATAATTGTTCGGGTGAGGGAGAAAGGACAAGATGGAAGAAGGTAAAGAAGGTAAACAAGATGGCTCAGTTCTGGGTTCTTCATCAGCGACTTTCCCGTGCCTGGGAAAAACACCGATTGTCTGCACCTGTGCATTGTGACGTCAAAACAAAGAAATCGAAACTTACCCAGCCACGCCTATGAAGATGCCCTTACCCCCGCCCCTGTCCTGCCTACCTCAAGCCCCATCCATAAAAGGCCACTCCCGGAAGACATCGGCATGAACTTCCTCGGCCCCTCTTCATACGCGGACCTAGGAACCTCGCCCGAGAATGCCGGAGCGACTTCCTCGGCCTCCACTGCAGGAGACTGGTGAACCTCGCCCTTTCCTCCTTCACATTGGCTAGCTAATAAGGTTTTTTTTACCTTGCCTACTTGCCTTATCTCTGGCTCCGGCTCCGGTGGTCGCATAAAACAAATCAGGTGGTGCCAAAACCCAGGAGGAGACCCCTCCTCAAGGCCCCCAGGCCAAGGAGCCTCCTCCTCTTTCCACGCCGCGGTCGGACCAGGACCTAGACATCGCTTTCCACATCTCCAAATCTCCTAGGGGTGAGTACCTCTTGCCTCCCTCTCATACTCCTTGGCCAGAAGTCCTGCGCAGGCCCAAGGCTTTCTCTTTGGTCACCAGGTGACCCACAAGGAGGTTCCCAAAGGCGGAAACATCTGCCCAAAGGACCCTCCATTCCAATCAAGGGAGACCCATCCAGGACGGAGATGTCTGCCTGGAGGTATTCTCCATTCCGGCTCCAGGAGACTCCCCGTCTCTGGTGGCTCTAAAGGACGCTTTGGAGCCAGATAGAGTTCGGCTGCCGCCTACCGCCTACCGCGAGAGGAAGGCAATGGGAAATCCCCAATCCAAAATACCAAGAAACACCCCTTTAGGGTGTCTTCTGGCCAATCTCAAAACTTTACAATTAGAACAAGATCTTAAATGGAAGCGACTTATTTTCCTCTCCACTGTGGCGTGGCCCCAATATAAATTAGACAATCAATCTCAGTGGCCACCTGAGGGCACTCTAGACCACAATATTCTACTCGATCTTGGCAGTTTCTGCCCACGCCTAGGCAAGTGGTCCGAAATTAAATATATACAAGGATTTTGGGACTTGCATTCTCGACCACACTTGTGTAGCCAATGTTCCTTGGCCCAAGTCATGTTGGCTAAAGGCGCGGACCTAGCAAAGTCAGAAAATGAAGAGTCATCCTTCCTGTCTGACTCACCTGAAGACCTCAGAAATTCCTACTCTAGGCCCCCCGCGTCAGCTTCCCCCCCACTTCCACTTCTGCCGTATACTCCACCTCCCCCTCCCGCTTCTGCTCCACCTTCCCCTCCCGCTTCCGCTGTAGTTCCGCCCTCCACCTCCGTCCCGCCTACCATTGTTGAGGCTGCCCCTCCCTCCATCCCCTTGGCACTTCCACCTAGCCACCTTAGTTCACCTATATCCTCCCATACCTGCTCTAAAGATTGCCTACCGCCCCCGCCCCTACTCCCACCCTATCCATCCCCCCTGCAGTTTTAGTGCCCTTGTGTGAGGTGGCAGGAGCAGAAGGCGTGGTTAGAGTTCATGTTCCCTTCTCACTAGCAGACCTTTCAAAAATTGAAAAACGTTTAGGAGATTTTTCTGCCAATCCTACAGTTTACACCAAAGAATTTAGGTACCTTTGCCAGGCCTACGATCTAACCTGGCATGACCTTCATGTTATTCTTACCTCTACTCTAAACCCAGAGGACCGAGAGTGCATCCTAGTGGCTGCCAGGCAGCACGCCGACCAACTGCATTTAACAGATGCTGCTATCCCAGTAGGGGAACAGGCAGTCCCATCTGTGGACCCAGAATGGGACTATCAAGTAGGCCAGCCGGGTCGCCGAAGATGAGACATAATGACTCAATGTCTTCTGGCTGGCATGCAGGCGGCTTCAAATAAAGTAATTAATTTTAACAAACTAAAAGAAATCATTCAAGGTCCAGATGAGAACCCAGCCACCTTTTTAAACAGACTAACAGAAGCTTTAATATAGTACACTCGATTACACCCATCCTCCCCAGCTGAGGCAACCATCTTAGCATCCTATTTCATCTCCCAATCAGCCCCAGATATTTGGAAAAAACTCTAAAAGGCAGAGGATGGACATCAAACTCCTATCCAAGGTCTAGTCAAGTCGGCCTTCAAGGTCTATAACTCCAGAGAAGAAGCAGCTGAGGCCCAACGACAGGCCCGTCTAAAGCAGAAAGTGCAGCTCCAAACCCAAGCTTTAGTTGCTGCCCTGCAGCCTAGTCTTAACCCAAAGCAGGAGAGTAAATCTTGCAAGACCCCAAAGTCCTTGAAAGGGGCCTGCTATAAATGTGGAGCCCCTGGGCATTGGGCTGATAGATGTCCCCAAAATCCCCAGCCGTCTGGTCCAACGCAGCCATGCTACAAGTGTGGGACTTCTGGCCACTGGGCCAGCAAGTGTCCTAGTCCTCATCCACCAATGACTCCCTGTCCAGCGTGCCATGAAGAAGGGCACTGGAAGTCAGATTGCCCCACCCTGAAAACGGACATAAGGTCTTAACGTGATGCCCCTTCTCAGGACCCTGGGAGCTCCTTCCAGCTCTTACAGCTGGATGACGACTGAAGGTGCCGGGACTTGGGGACCCCTATCACCCTCGCCGAGCCATGGGTAACTCTCCTGGTAGCGGGTAAGACAATTAATTTTTTAATAGACACCGGGGCTACCTACTCTGTTTTGCTGTCTTTCTAAGGGCCTAGCCTCCCCTCCAATATCTCTTTGTAGGAGTCGATGGCTCCCCGTCCAGCCCTCGAAAAACACCACCTCTTAATTGCTGCCTGGTCAACAACTATTTTGTGCACTCGTTCCTCATTATCCCCTCATGTCCCACTCCGCTCCTAGGCCGAGATGTCTTAAGTCAACTGAAGGCCTGTATCTCACTTCCCATCAGCCTTCCCCATCCAGCCTGTCATCTACTTTTAGTTCTAACTACCCCAAACGACTCCAACCATTCTACTAACCATTCCCCCGCATTCCCTATTCCAGTAGACCCTCAAGTGTGGGATACTTCTTTTCCCATAGTAGCAAGTCACCACCCACTAGTCCTTATAAAACTTAAAGATCCCTCTCAGTTTCCGGCTTGCCCACAATTCTCCCTTTCTCCACAACACCTACGAGGACTCAAATCTATCATTAATAGGCTGCTCAGTCAACACATCCTCATCCCCACTCTCTCCTTGTAATACCCCAATCCTACCAGTAAGAAAGTCAGATGGAACTTTCCGGTTAGTCCAAGACCGCTTCATAAATGAGGCTGTCCGCCCCACTCACCCAGTAGTTCCAAATCCTTACACCCTCCTCTCATATATCCCATCTGACACGACCTATTTTACTGTTCTTGATTTAAAAGATGCATTTTTCACCATCCCCTTACACCCTAACTGCCAGTTTCTTTTTGCTTTCACCTGGGAAGACCCGGATACCCATGTCTCCACCCAACTGACATGGACAGTGCTTCCCCAAGGGTTCTGAGATAGCCCCCATTTCTTTGGGCAGGCCCTTGCAGCAGATCTAGCCTCCTGCCCCCTCACCAGCAGCAAAGTCCTCCAGTATGTAGATGATCTCCTCCTCTGTAGTCCTACTAAACAAGACTCTTTGTTAGACTCAGCCATCCTCCTTAACCACTTAGGATCCAAAGGTTACTGAGTATCAAAACACAAAGCTCAAGTCTCCCAACAATGTGTTATATATCTAGGTATTGAAATCACACCCACAACCTGCTCATTAACCACCGAGCAGTTAAAGCTCATCCAAAACCTGTCGCCACCCCAGAATGCCAAAGAGATTCAATCTTTCTTAGGGCTAGTCGGGTTCTTTAGACACTGGATCCCCAATTTCTCAATGTTAGCCAAACCCCTATATGCTGCCATCAAAGAGACCCCCGAAGGACCCCTGTCAAACCCAAAACTTGTTTGCCGGTACTTTACACATCTCAAGCGCTGCCTCCTTACACAACCAACACTTTCACTACCAGATTTCAAACGACCTTTTCACCTATACATTGATGAAAAACAAAAGGTAGCCGTAGGAGTCTTAGTCCAACCTGTAGGTCCTACTCACCACCCTATAGCTTATCTATCCAAACAACTAGATCCTACTGTACAAGGGTGGCAGCCTTGCCTTCGGGCTCTGGCTGGAGCTGCCTGTTTAACTCAAGAAGCAAAAAAACTCATTAGAGGCTGTAATCTAACAGTCTTCTCTACCCACCGCCTTCAAGACCTTATTGCCCACAAAAGTATTAGCCACCTAACCCCGTCCAGGCTCCAACTTTTCCACCTCTTGTTCATAGAAGACTCTAACATTGCCCTAGGAGTCTGCTCCTCTCTAAATCCAGCAACCTTACTCCCCAACCCTCTCAAACAACCCCATACTGAACACTCCTGTCCAGAACTTTTAGAGGCCCAACCAGCTAGTCACTTACATTTACATGACCAACCCTTGGAGAGCCCACAGTTAACCCTATTTGTGGATGGCAGTTCTTTTATAAATTCTCAAGGAAACAGACAGGCAGGATACATGGTAGTTACATCATCCACTGTCCTAGAAGCTAAGCCTTTACCACAAGGAACAACATCACAGCAGGCGGAGCTTATCGCACTAACTAGGGCTCTCCTCCTATCTAGAGGAAAAACAGTAAACTTATACACAGATTCTAAGTATGCCTTCTTAATTGCACACATCCATTCTGTCATCTGGAAAGAAAGAGGGTTCCTAACCTCCTATGGTACCCCCATAATCAACAAAAAGCAAATACTTAAACTGCTAGACACTTTATCAGCACCTTCCAAAGCAGCCATCATACACTGTAAAGGTCATCAGACTCCATCTAACCCGGTGGCAGCTGGCAACAATTTTGCTGACACCACTGCCAAATCGGCTGCCAGATTCTCCACCCCTACACTTCCTTCTGTTTGTTTTCTTTCTCCCAATATACCCCTAATTACACCCAGGAAGAGAAAACCAACTATTACAAGATTCAACAGCCAGAGTAGCCACAGACAATTGGATTTACATTAATAATAAATTAGTTATCCCTAAGACACAACTTTACACTGTCTTAAAGGACATACATAACTCCTTACACATAGGACCTAAGGCTCTACATAACCTCTTAAGCCCCCTCGTCCACTGCCCCGCACTCATGAAGTACCTAACCGAAATCAGTCAACAGTGTTCTACCTGCCTTAAATCAAATCCTCAAGGCGCACTACGCAACCCCCACCTGAGTCACCAACTCAGAGGACACCAGCCAGGCGAAGATTGGCAAATCAATTATACACATGTGCCAAAACATAAAAAATTCAGATATCTCCTAACCCTTATTGACACCTTTTCCGGATGGATAGAGGCTTATCCAACTACAGGAGAAACTGCTAATATAGTTGCTTCCATACTCACTGAATATATCATCCCCAGGTTTGGTCTCCCACTCACACTCCAGTCTGACAACGGCCCAGCCTTCATCTCCAAAGTTGTCCAGCAAGTGGCAGCTCTCCTACACATAACCTGGAAGCTTCACATCCCTTATAGACCCTAATCCTCAGGTAAAATAGAAAAGGCCAACGGATTAATCAAACAACAACTCACCAAACTGTCGCTTGAGACTCGACAGTCATGGGTCACTCTGTTACCCCTAGCCCTAACCCGACTACAGGTGGCCCCGAGGAGTCCAACAGGTCTTAGTCCATTCAAACTAGTTTAGGGATGGCCACTGACCTTACAACAAATACCCACTCTTCCCTCGCCACTAGCAAACTATCTCCCATACTTAACCCTCCTGAGACAACTCCTACGACAACACGCAGAGCTAGCACACCCTCCTCCTACCGACTCCTGCAATCCGCATACTGTCCTTAATCCAGGTGACCAAGTATACTTGAAAAATATCCAGGCTAAAGACCTCCAACCCAGGTGAAAGGACCCTACATTGTCCTCTTATCCACACATACAGCGGCCAAACTGTTAGGCCTTACCCACTGGGTACATATCACTCACCTAAAAAAAGCTCCTTCAGAAGATAACTCATAAACAGTCACCCAAATCACCCCCTAACCCCCCCCCCGCCTCTAGCTAAATAAGCTCTTTTAACATATACATGCAACTATTTACTGAATTCCTACACATCCTGTACACACATATAATTGAATTCTCCTATATAATCCCAGACTCAGATCTCCTTCCAGACCCAAGCCCCAACCAGTGGTTCTCTCGTCTCCTTACTTTGATATAACACCTCCAGTGGCAAGGGGACCTTTACAACTATAGTGAAGATGAGGTCCTACTTTGTACTTTCCTTACTATTCTGGTGCTCTACACTCATAGTCAGTAACCCTGTGTTCATATGGAGATTCTCTATAGTTGAAACTTGGTCAGATAACAACAAACAACATTCAGAACTACAAGGCACTGCAGACTGCTCACCTCAAGGCTGTCAATCTGCTCTTTCTATAAACTTCTCCCTAACCTCCACCAAAGATAGATGGGCTCAGCTGTCCCTCTGCTTCCTACATGACCAGACAGAATACAATTGTAAAAACTATTGGCAACAAACCAACCTAGGATGCCCATACAAATATTGCAAAATACACCACTCAATGCTGGATAATACAGAGAACAACAAGTTAAGCAGTTAGCATCTTTTCACTTACAATGAAAAAATCAATGGAAAACACGCTGGAAACCCCCATATCATCTAAATATAAAGGACCCCTGGGACCCCCGATGGGCAGACGGAGTAACAGGAGGGCTTTACGGAGATAGCGTTTGGGACTCATATCCAACTGCCACCCTCTTAATAAAAAGGACACTTGTCCAACAAAAATCCCTCCCTAAAAATATACAAGTCCTACAAAATTTAACCTTAGCCATATAATCACAAGAACAGACCCTACAAGATCAACTACATTCCTCCAATAAAGACCCCTTCTCATGGTTAAAGCTTGTCCGTCAAGGGCTAAACCTAACACAGGCAGCTAACATAACAGATCTCTCCCACTGTTTCCTCTGTGCAGCCCTTGAAAGAGACCCCTTAGTGGCAGTCCCCTTACCCACTGCTTTCAAGGCTACAACTGACTCTACCGGCACCCCCCAAAAACCGTTCTTATTACAGGTCCCACTATACCAAAATCCGGAAAATCCAATCCTTCCTTTCTGCTACTCTTCCCCAAACTCCTCCTGGTGTAATTACACGCAATAGCCCAGTAGGACCCAGACAGCTCCCATTGGAGGTTATTTCTGGTGCAATCAAACCCTCTTCAAGGTCCTTAACCATACATCCATCAGCCAATCCCTCTGTGTCCCAGTGTCCCTAGTATGTAGCTTAACCCTATATAGCAAAGCAGAAGTGGCTGAACTCACTTTACAATTTAACTCTCCTCCTAATAATCTCCAAAAACGGGCAGTCTTCCTTCCTCTAGTCATCGGAATCTCCTTGGCCTCCTCTCTAGTGGCATCAGGCCTCGGAACTGGAGCCCTGGCCCATTCCATACAGTCCACCCAATCCCTCACTCGCCAAATACAAGAAGCAATAGAGGCATCTGCTGAAAGCTTAGCATCATTACAGAGACAAATCACCTCAATAGCCCAAGTTGCAGCCCAAAACAGACGGGCATTAGATCTTCTTACTGCTGAAAAAGGAGGAACATGCCTTTTCTTACGAGAAGAGTGCTGTTGTTACATTAACGAATCAGGATTAGTTGACACTAACATCCAGACCCTCAAAAGAATCAAGACAGAGTTAAGGAACTATAATACCCCTCTCTCTCCTGGACCGTCCTTATGGTTCCTCCCAATAATACAACAGATGCTCCCATTTCTTATACCCATTTTAATCCTATGTTTAATAATGTGCTTTGCTCCCATTCTAATCAAATTTCTCCGAGCCAAGGTCCAAGAGATCACCCGAGTCACCTTCAACCAAATGCTCCTGCATCCCTACACCCAACTGCCAACCTGGGACCCTAACTATGCCCCCTAACAGCAGGAAGCAGCCAGACAGATAATGACGCCCCTAATTCTTATAATTAATAAGAGGTTGGACTGTTCGAGTGAGGGAGAAAGGACAAGATGGAAGAAGGTAAAGAAGGTAAACAAGATGGTACAGTTCCGGGTTCTTCATCAGCGACTTTCCCGCACCCGGGAAAAACACTGATTGTCTGTGCCTGCGCATTGTGACGTCAAAACAAAGAAATCGAAACTTACCCAGCCACGCCTATGAAGATGCCCCTACCCCCGCCCCTGTCCTGCCCACCTCAAGCCCCATCCATAAAAGGCCGCTCCCGGAAGACATCGCCGTGAACTCCCTCCGCCCCTCTTCATATGCGGACCTAGGAACCTCGCCCGAGAATGCTGGAGCGACTTCCTCGGCCTCCACCGCAGGAGACCAGTGAACCTTGCCCTTTCCTCCTTCACATTGGCTAGCTAATAAGGTTTTTTTTACCTTGCCTACTTGCCTCATCTCTGGCGCCTGCTCCAGTGGTCGCATAAAACAAATCAATAATATGCCAAAGAAGCAGAAGGGGAAGCAGGCAAGTGCAAGGAGACAAAACATGAGAGGCAGCCTCACTTTACATAACCACCTGGCCTCGCAGTAACTAACCAGTCCTACAGAGTTAGAACTACTCCTTTGAGAATGGCATTAATTTCTCTTAACAACCTAATCACCTTTCTTTTCCATGCTTTTACTTCCTCCTCAACATCGCCACATTGGGGACCAAGCCTCAACATGAGTTTTGGTCGGAAGAAACCACAGCATTCTGCTCCTCACTCCCCAAACTCATGTCCTTCTTACAATGCAAAATCTTCCCATCCCCCAAATCTCCCAAATCTTAACTTGTCCTGCACCAACCTAAAAGTCCAAAGCCCAAAGTCTCATCTGGGAAATTGTGAAATCAAAACAAGTTATCTATTTCCCAGATACAATGGTGGGACAGGCATAGGGTACACATTCCCATTCCAAAAGGGAGAAATAGGCAAGAAGAAAGAAAGAAGAAAGGAGTAACAGGTCCAAAGCAAGTTCAAAACCTAGCAGGTTAGCCATTAAATTTTAAAGTTGGAGAATAATCTCCCTAAACTCCACGCACACTAGGGTTGGAGGAGGAGCCCCGAAGGCCTCAGGCAGCCCTGCCCCCATGGCTTTGCTGGTGCAACCCACATGGCTGCTCTCATGGGCTGGAGTCTGATGCCTGTAACTTTCCCAGGCAGGCATTACCACCTGCCGGTGACTCTACAATTCTGGGGTCCCAAGGGTGGCCCAGCCCTTGTGGCTCTACTAAGCATTACCCTAGTAAGAGAACTCAGCAGTGGTTGCACCCCTGTGACAAATCACTACCTAGGCCCCTAGGCTTTTCAATCACCCTCAGATATTTAAGTAGAGGAAGTCACACCTCCATAGTTCTTGCATTCTGCACATGGAACTGCCAAGGCTTAGTTTGTACCTTCTGTAGTTTGAGCATGAGCCACATCTGGGCCTGTTTGAATGAAGATGTAGTTTTGCCAAGGTTTACAGTTTGTACCATTTGGAGGAACAAGCTGAGCTGTACCTGAGGCAGTTAAGCCACCACTGGCTGAGGAGTCCTGCTCCTGAATGCAGAGAGCAGAGAGACCCTAGCCTACCCTACCTAGGCTCAAGGTAGCAAACCCTTGCTGCCCTCAAGATCCTAACATTCTCAGACTGTGATGTGGGGAGCAGCCTCAAAGATCTCTAAAATGCCTTCAGGGTCGTTCTCCCATTGTCCTGATGATTAGTACCAGGTTCCCTTCTAGCCATATTAATCTCTTTAGCAAATAGTTTCTGGGTATTGCTGTGATGTACTCTATATTTTATTATTACTTTATTACGTATCTTAACTTCTCTACCAGAATGTAAACTAAGCTCCACAAGAAAAGAAACAGTGTTTTCATCCTTTACAGTACCAAGTACAGTGCTTTTCACTTAGCAGATCACAATAAGTCATGCTGAATTAAATTGCTATTTCTTTAATGTCAACATCTATGTATGTGAGATGAGCAGAACGTAGTGCACCAATTTCTCATTTTAATGGTGTTTAAGAACCTTTAAAGGTTTTAGCGTGATTGATTCAGATGCAGAAACACAGCAGTTGTAAAGAGGACTAAAATAAAGAGACTGATTGCCCTTATTGTTCAACACAGGAACAGAGTCTTAGGTTTTTTTTTAAGCTTTTTATCTAAGTTTAATTCATATGATGCCTCATAAATGTTTACCAATAATAACAATAAAAATTTCATGTGGAAGTCTCTCTTCTTTACTTCTCTTATCTCCAAGGTTTTTATGCTTAAAGAAAAAAATATTGATACAGAGTTGGCCAACATGACTGAATAGAAGTAGCTAGTGTATGCCACTCTCATGAAGAGAAATGGAACAGGTGAGTAAATACAGCACCTTCAATGGAAACATCTAAATACATGCATTGGAAACTCATCAAGGAAACAACCTGACCCATGGAGAATGGAGAAAAGCAAGGCAGGATGACTGCCCACCCAGGAGTGACATGGAGCCAGGAGAGCTTCCTCGGCCCAGGGAAGTGGTGAGTGAGTGAGCAACCCCTGGGACCCACGCTTCTCCCACGAATCTTTGCAACTATTGGGCCAGGAGTCCCTCTCACGGACCCACTCCATCAAGGCATTCAGTCTGATACACAGAGCTACATGGAATCGTGGCAGAGCAACCACTCAGGCACACACACAGCCCCAGCAGCCTTAGATACCCAGGTTTCCTAGCAAAAGCAGTTGCAACTCCAGCAAAGCAGGTTAGACCCCTATACATGTCCCTAGGAAGTGACAGTTTGCAGGCCTTGTTTCCATGGAATCTTTCAGGATAAGACCCACTGGCTTGGGAAACAAGCCAGCCACTAGTAGCAGCATTACAGCTCCCTGAGATGGAGCTCCCAAGGGCAGAGACAGGCCACCATATCTGTTATTTCACAGCCTTAGCCATTGTTGCCTTTGGGCTCTAGGGAGTCCCAGTTGACTAGGGACTGCAGTGGTCCCCTGGCACAGCCCAGAAGCTATATGGAAAAGCAGTCAAATTGCTTATTCACATGGATCCCAGATCCCATTTCTCTTCACTGGGTAGAATCTCCCGCCTGGGGTCTCTAGTTACCCCCACTGGTGTTTTCCAACCCACCGATTTCAAACTTCTCTGGGATAGAGGTCACAGAGGGTGGTGTGGGCTGCCATCTTTGCTGTTTGATAGCTTTCGCCATTCTTGCCTTTGGGCTTTGGGCAGTCTGAGGCAACTGGGGGATGGAACAGACCCCAAGCATAGCACAGCTACTCTATGAAAACATAGGCAGACTGCTTTCTTAAGTGGATCCCTGATCCTGTTCTTCCCCACTGGGCAGGACCTCCCAACTGGGGTCTCCAGCCACCTCCTACAGGTGTGTTTGGACCGGCAACAGGTCCATACCTCCCTGGGACACAGCAAGCTCCCAGAAGAAGGGGCGGGCCACCATCTTTGTTGTTTTGCAGACTTCACTGTGGATAGCTTCAGGTACTGGAAAATCCAAGGTGACTAGGTACTGGAGCAGACCCCCAGCATGCTGCCGCAGTCCCACAGAAAACCGGCCAGACTGTTTGTCATGTGGGTCCCTAATCCTGTATATCCTCGCTGGGCAGGTTCTCCAGCTGGGGCTATTGAGCCAGTAGCAGTTCTGCAACTCCCTGGACAGAGCTCCTAGTGGGAGGGACGGGTTGCCACGTTTGCTCTCTCACAGCTCTCACCCTTGCTGTCTCTGGGCTCTGCAGAATCTGTGGGGAGCAGGGGCTGGTCTGAATTCCCAGGACAGAGCAATCAACTCGTGGAAAAGTAGCCAGATTGTTCTCCATGCAGGTCCTGGTCCTCATTTCTCTTCACTGGGCAGGGCCTCCCAACCTGGGACTCTAGTGCACCACCACCATGCCCCTGCCTGATCACTGCAATTAGAGGCATAAGCAGCCCAGCATTTCTCTGAGGAGGAAATCCCAGAGTCAAACTCCATCACTACAGTTGTAGTGGTACCACCTTAAGAGCCCTCAGGCTGGGAAAGGAACAAACGGCCTAGTCACTATGCTGGCACCTCCAATATACCACAGTCACTATATGGAGAGGAGTGCAGTCCTTCTTCTCTAGGAACCCTGCCCCCACCCCACTCCTTACCAGGCAGGGTCCTTGGCTCATAACCACAGAACAGTCACTTCATCCATGGCTGAGCATACCCACTGGTAGTGACCCAAAGTTTCCCTGAGGAGAGGCTCCCAGAGGCATCCTAAAGCCCTTCTGCCACTGCTACAGCAGCAGTTCCTTCCCTGCTGCCAGTGTTCTGGGAAGAAACAGCCTGAGGGATACACCCAAGTTTATAGCACACCACAGGCACCATATGGAACAAATACCAGCCTCTCCTCTTGGTGAGCCCTCAATCCCTTGCTCCTCAACAAGCAGAGCCCTAAGCTCATGCCAGCAGTGCAGCTATCCCACCCCACTGGCTGAACACTCCAGTAACAGCAGCTCCACACTCCACATTTCTCGGAGGCAGAGCCAACCAAAAGCCTCTCTGCCATTGCCTCTGCAGTGGTACTACCCCTGCTACCCTCAGACTAATGAAGACTCTAAGTTACTTATCCACACCTCCAATAAGTTGCAGTCAACTGAAGGAGAGGAGGCCAGTCTGTCTCCTATGGACCCCATCCACATCCTCTGCTCATCACCAGGCAGGGAACCCCTGGCTTGGGCCCATAGCATAGAACTCCCCCATCCTGGGCTGATTGCACTGAGCAATTGCTGACCTTCATCTCTCTGGGGGTGGAGCCTACAGGAAACAAGCAAAAGATACTTGGTCACAACTACTACGAAGGTCCCTTCCTCTGCTGCTTCCAAGTTGAGGAGGAAACATAAACCCTGAGATCACCCCAGAGCTGTGGTGGGCAGCCTGGGAGAGGGCCAAGCCACAATCTCCAGCCAGTACTCAAGTGGGAGAGGAGCACATACTTTCAGAGCATTGAGAGGGAGCACAGCTGCAACTGCAGAAATATAGGGGAGCCACACAACTGAGCAACAGCCTACCTACCAACTGACCACTACCTCTAAGCACCACCTACTGGATGACACCAAAGCTTCAACACCAAAAATACCTTGCTAACATACCCACTGTGAAGCCAAAGACAAGAAGTCAGCTACAAAAAAGACCATGCAAAAAGCCTTGGCCTTGTGAAAACATCTAGAAAACAGATCTATTGACTGTACTCAATCTACACAACAGTTAAAGAAACCCCCACATACAGAGTTGAGAAAGAACCAATGCAAGAACTCCAGCAACTCAAATGGTCAGAGTGTCTGTGTCCTCCAAATGACCACACTAGTTCTCCAACAAGCATTCTTAACCAGGCTGAGTTAGCTGAAATGACAGAAATAGAATTTAGAATACAGATAGGAACAAAGGTTATTGAG